GGTTTTGGTAATGGGGGGCTGCAGGGGTGGCTTCCATGAGAAGTTGCCAGAAGAATCACTTGTGTCCAATAAAGCCAGTGCCAGCTGGCTCTGAGATGAATCTGCTGCCAGCCAAGGCTGAGCCCGTCAGTGTTGTTGGTAGTGTATCTGGGATAACAGATTTAGAAGCAGGAAAAGTTGCTGCACAACAGAAAGAGGGGAGGGGAGGGGAGGGGAGGGGAGGGGAGGGGAGGGGAGGGGAGGGGAGGGGAGGGGAGGGGAGGGGAGGGGAGGGGAGGGGAGGGGAGGGGAGGGGAGGGGAGAGGAGAGGAGAGGAGAGGAGAGGAGAGGAGAGGAGAGGAGAGGAGAGGAGAGGAGAGGAGAGGAGAGGAGAGGAGAGGAGAGGAGGGGAGAGGAGAGGAGAGGAGAGGAGAGGAGAGGAGAGGAGAGGAGAGGAGAGGAGAGGAGAGGAGAGGAGAGGAGAGGAGAGGAGAGGAGAGGAGAGGAGAGGAGAGGAGAGGAGAGGAGAGGAGAGGAGAGGAGAGGAGAGGAGAGGAGAGGAGAGGGAATATGTGAGAGAAACAGCTCTGCAGACACCAAGGTCAGTGCAGAAGGAGGGGGAGGAGGTGCTCCAGGCACCAGAGCAGAGACTCCTCTGCAGCCCGTGGTGCTGCCCATGATGAAACTTGGCAGCCCTGTGCCCCTGCAGCCCTTGAAGGTCCATGGTGGAGCAGAGGTCCATCCGTAGCCCATGGGAGACCCACAGGATCTGGGGAGAGAGAGGAGTTCATGCTGGAGCAGATTTACTGGCATGACTTGTGACCCTGTGGGAGGCCCCTGCTGGAGCATTCTGTTCCTGAAGGATGCCACCCTGTGGAAGGGATCCACCCTGGAACAGTTCACCAAGAACTGCAGCTTGTGGGAAAGACCCACGTTGAAGAAATCTGTGGAGGACTGTCGCCTGTGGGAGGGACCCCATGCTGGAGCAGGGGAAGAATATGAGTCTTGCCCTTAGCAGGATGGAGTGGCAGAGATAACATGTGATGAACTGATTGTAGCTCCCATTCGCCATCCATCTGGGTCATAGGGAATTCAGGAGTGAAGTTAAGCCTGAGAAGAAAGAATGGGTGGGAGGAAAGTGTTCTTAAGATTTACTTTTTATTTCTTCTTTTGCTACTTTGATTTGATTAAATGAATTTGTTGTCAATCTCCCCAAGCTGAGTTTGTTCTGCATGTGACAGTAATTGGTGAGTGATCTTTTCATGCACTTGTCTAGACCCACAAGTCTTTCATTATATTTTCCCTCTCCTGTCCAGCTGAGGTGGTGAGCCATAGAGCAGCTTTTGTGGTCACCTGTTATACAAACATGGTCAACTCACAATAACATTGTGTTTCCTGATATATAAAAAAATGAGTGGACTATTTTACAGCAATATTTTCACTTTAAAATGTGAGGAGTTTTGCCATTTGGTCATTTGGTCATTTTTAGTTTGTCAGGAAAATTCACAGCTTGTACATGGTTTAATAAGAAAGTCAGCTGTTTAATGAAACCTGTGTAGCTGCCTATGTAGTAAGTGCTCAAAAGGGGAAGTGAAGTAAAATGTAATTCTAGTATATTTGCATCCCTTTATGTATTTGCTATTGCATCTCTACTTCTTATGTGTGGGTGAGACTATGAGGAGAAACCATTGCAGCATCTCATAAGACACCATAAGCCCTGCAGTGCAGCCTTACAAAAAGGGCAGCGCTGCAACCTGCAGACTTTGACTGGATAGGTGTGTGTGATTAAAACATTGGGAAGTATCATTTCTCTTGCATCTTGACGTGGCAGCTGAGTAAAGGCACGAAGCTGGGAAGCACAGCTATGAAGTCCAGCTTTCTCTGAGAGGTGCAAGGGTCTGTAACCACTGCTGAACTTGAAGGGAATCTTCTTTGGAGACACTTGGGTATAGGAATTTCCTAGATATGAGTTGGGTAACCCCCAGCTGAAATGGGTGTGAGGAGACTATTCTAATTGTGATCTTAATTCTTGTAATCTTAGTATCCTAAATGAACCATCACTTTTGTATATGTCAGATTTTTCAAAAATATCTGCATAGAAGATGTAAAAATATTTTGATTATATAACTTTATTTAATCTCTGACCAGCTTAGTGAAATCTCTCTCCCCCAAGTCCTACATTTTATGTAGCCATGTATTTATTATGTTTGTGCTTGTGGCTGGAAGGCCCCAAAATGTTTTGGCTTCACTGTTTATGAAACAATATAACATTGGTGTATATATGTAAAAAATGTACAGAAAAGGTGGAACACACAGAGTTTTTGTCATCTTTTGTCATGACATCAAAATTGACTGCCTGGTAGTGTGAAAATGACGTGCCATCACTATATCAACTGTATTCTTTCTTTCTCTCTCTACTAGTGGATTTTTAGAACTGATTACAAATTTATTATCTCCGTGTCTCATCTGCTTAAGAGTTAGTCCCTACAGTTATATTACTGCCTGGGCATCTTTGCTTATACAGGTTAATTTACAAAACAGTTACAGTTTCTTCTAGAAGTTCTGCAGCTTAAAAAAAAAACCAAAAACTACCCAGAACCCAATATGATATGGCAAATTCTGATTTTAGAATTGAATTTTCTATGTACTTTACTTTTAGTGTCTTTTTTTCCCCTAAACCTTATCTTGCTCATTTTTGTAGTTCCTCAATACTATTCCTAAACTGATTTTTCTTGTTTTATCCTTAATAGGAAATGATCCCTCCCACAATTTCTCCCTTTAGAACATCAGTATTGTAGAACATAATATTTTATTTGTTTATTAGTAAGTTCTGCTTTCATGAAGAATAAACTTTTAAATTACTGGAAGCTGAAGTGGTAATTCACAACTGTCAGGGCTCAAGACCAGGTGTTCAGTAGTATTTCATGCAGTATCATGTGAATGATACCTTTCTCATACTCATGTTTGTAGGATAAAATGCTGTAAATACTGTGAGTTTCTTAAACTTCAATTATTGTGTTGATATTTCAGGTTATATTGGTTTAATTTCAAATATGTTTAAGATATAAAGCCTGATTCTGCCATCATTGAATTTAATGCTTACAATTAAGAATATTCAATTAATTCCTGTTTATACTAATGTATTTAAAATCAGAAGCAGACATTTGTGTACCAAAGACTTCTATAATTTTACACCTTCTCAGTCTTTAAGTTAGGCCTTTCTAACAGTACTCCTGTTTTGTATGGCCTTTGCTGTGAAGTTATAGTAGGATTTTTAACGTATGAATTTAGTACATATTTTTTTTACACATCACAGCTAACTGCATATGTATATGTTAAATCTGTTGCTATTAGTATCTTAACGAAGATACTTAGGAAAAGGGCAGGTGATTGCACCTCAGTTTTAATTTTTTTTCTACTTTTGCCTTTTCAGAGACTTAAATCAGTTATCTGTCTTTCCTCAGTAATAAAAATGGCATTCTGGTCTGAACCTCTTCTCCAAAGCACAGAGTCACAGTAATAGGATTTATTATTTTCATTATACTAGTGCAACTTTGTTAAAGTACTTGTACTCCAAGGTGTAATGAGCAATTTGGGATCTTAATCCAGCAATACTGTCCCTCTGAGTAAATACTTGGATATTTTAAGTGGACTGGGGAGGGGGGGGCAAAAAAAATACTGATGGTAATCAAAATTTTTATATAGGTTATTCATTTCAGTAAGCCCTCTGTTAGAAAATTTCAGGCATTGAATGGGTTTTTGTGGGTTTTTTTTAGATAGGGAGAGAGAATTATCCCAGCAGAAGGAGCAAACAGCTTGGTGGTAAGCTTGTGATTGATGAGAGCCGAACCCCTGCTCTGCCTTAGCCAGCAGGACCAGAGCAACTGCTGGGAGAAGTTCCAGTTGCCCAGGCCACTTGTTGGCTCTCACAGGTTTTGTCTCTCTATCTGCTTTGTACAGATCAGCTCATGTGTATGAACCCCAAATAATATAGTCTATGTACATATTAGTGAGTAAAATATATCAACCTGCTCCTTATGGGACAGGAGAAGCCCAAACCTTTTTCCCAGATGACTGACGATGACTGGTTTCTCTCTTAATTGAGTGGATTACCTGGGATGCCTGCAGGCCCTTAAACTGCTCCTGAATAGTTTTTGCAGCAGCAGGAGTTTTCAGCTAGTAGCCCAAATTTTGCCAAGGAACATACTCCAGTGAGTAATATGGAGTGGTGCCCTAACCCTGGTTTGTTTATGCATATAGACCTAGCCTGAGAACAGGTATTTGCAATAAAGAAACTAATTTAGGCAGATGAAGAGATAATTAGTACCTGGCATATTCCAGGTAAATGTTTTAGCTATTGGGTTAAAGGCTAGTTTAGGAAATCAAGGTACCTCTGCCAGTAATTTATGCAAGGATTTTGAAGTACTTCACCTGTTGACTGAATAAGCAGTGATTTTTTGTGAAGAACTCACATCATTGGACAGGGTTTTTTTGCTTGTTTGTTTGTATTTTGTTACTTTTTTTTTTTTCCCCTCTCTTTTCTAGTTTTGTATCGGGCCAAAAAAATTATAGGGATTTTCTCTTGTGGCCCTATTTTATACATAAGATGCACTTTACTGGAGAAACAATGGCAAAAGTTTGCAAGTTTGCTATGGCAGTTGGTTGCAAAGTCATCCTCTCTTGAAGATACTGGCAAGTGCTTATCTCATCTGCAGAATAATTGTGTAGCATTTAATTCTAGAATAGTAATTCTTCCTGCTATATTTCAGGCAGGGTGACCCTAGCATTGAAAAGCAGAACCTGGAGCCAAGGTATGCGGATTCTTCTCCAGGGATGTTCTTTGGCTCTGAGCTCTGTTTCTCTGTGCTTCCATTTGGAAGTAATGTTAGCAGAGGCATGACTTTTGTGGACAGTTTTGTGACCTGGAACCAGGAGCAAAAAAGGAGTGTTGCTAATACCACTGTAGTCATTGGACATTCAAAGTGCAGAGTGCTCTGCTGATAACGATGTACTTATTGCAGTGACAGGCAATGGCACAAGTTAAAATGCAGACTACAGCAAACCTGTCTGGACCCACCATGGCCCCTGTGGTGCTACCCCTGCCAGTTACAGCTACAAATACACTGAGTCTGCCATCCTCAATGAATGGATCCATTTCAGAATCAGCTGCCAGCTGTAGCAGTCCTACTGCCACCCTTGTGGATCCCACGTCTTTGATCAACTCACCAGGTAAGCTGGTCCAGATGTATTTTCTTTGGTGTTCAAATTAATCTTTTTGATGACTTGTTAATTTAAAAAAAATAATAATTAGGTCTTAAAGAGGATTAAAATAAAGGAGAAAACTCACGTAGAAAAATGTTTTTGCTAAATAAACTGTTTACTAAGATTAGTTTCTTTATTGAGCTCAGACTGGGAGTGAAGTTTTAATCAATGATATAAAAGCTCAGGAAAGAACATGTCTATTTTGTCAAATTCTCAGAGTATCTTTTATAGAGAAGTTTTAGTGGGGCAGGAAGGTCTCCAAGTTTATTTCTCTTCCCTAGAACAGAATGTCTTCTGAATGCTTGGCAGTATTTGGTGTTTCCTTTGTGGCCCAATAAACGCTGTAGTTTCTATGCTGAACTAGGTATAAAATGCAGAAGTGTTGTCCTAACAATTTAAGCAATAAGTGACAATGTGTGTGTGTTAGGGATAAATACAAATAAATTTCAAAAAACCCACAGAAACTGAAACAGTCTACAGAAAGCAGAACTAAATCCTTAAAGGGGGAGGTGTTCTATGGGAGTGTTCTGAGAGTGACGTCAGTATTGTGAGAAAAGTCTAAAACTCTGGGAAGAAGCTGGCAGAAACAACTGGGGACTGCAGGGTTTCATCTGCTGCATTTGTCTCATAATTCTTATGCTACACATTTCTGCTTCAAAGAGTGGGAAAATTCAGGATTTTCAATTCTGAAAGAGTTGTCAACTCCAGGAACCAGTATACTCCTGACAGTAAACTTTGGTGACACAGAAAATATAGAATATGCATGTGCTCTCCTGCACTGTCATCTTTTATAAAGACATTTTGGGAAGCAATAGTTTTGGGGCTTTTTTAATTGCATGTAATCAAAAGTTGTTATTGTGAACTACATAGTCTTATGTGATTAATATATAAATGCTATTTAAACTTTGCATTTAGCATATATGCAAAAGTTGTGGTTAGCCAAAGTATTTCCTTTTTTAAGCATGCTGCTTTTGCAAAGCTTTGTGAAGTTGTGAAGAGTACATTTCTCCACAAAAACTTTACAGACTCTTTATTTACAGCTCCTCTCCAAGATAACATGGCAAACCCCAAAGAGAAAACTCCAATGTGTCTGGTAAATGAGTTAGCCCGTTTCAATAGAATTCAACCCCAGTATAAGCTTCTGAATGAAAGAGGGCCTGCTCATGCCAAGGTAAGGTCACAGTTCCAGGTGATGAGCCATACCTTACATGCTGAACAGATATCATGGTTTGGACAAATGTGCTTGTCAAACCCAGCTACATTTCTAGTGTAAGGGCTTTCTTCCTGTTCTTTATTTTACTGCTCTTTTATATTACACTTTCTCAAAGTATGCCTGTGTTTCTGTTACAGAAGCCCTGTAGATAATTTTGTACTTTACTTTGTCTCTCATCTTTGAATTTACATTTGCTGGTCTTTATATAGAACTCATGAACGTCTTTTCAGGGTATCACCACCCTTCCTTAATCTTTCTCGGGCATTTGCTTTTTAGGCTGCATGAGTCTTTCTCTGCAGTCAGCATGCTTCTGATAACTACCTCTGCATTTGTTTCATGGTAATGCAGGTGATGGCAAATTTGTGATGTTTTTTAAGTGCTTATTGATGCAATTTTTTGTCCATGAAGTTGATAGTCTATCTTTGAGTCTTGCATTCTAGGGCACAAACTTTATTGTTCTGCAACTTTACAATGTAGGGTTATACTAAAACTCATAATGTGATTATAGCATATAAGTTTCTAGTGATTTGACATCTAATTCTGGCCACCTCATGGATGGATGTCCAACTTAATAAGTAAAAATTAGGATGCTTTCAGATGATGGGGAATACAGAGGAATATCCTCATGATATTTTTTGGATATAATTTTGAATTTCCTCCCTACTTAGGAGCAAACTAGGGAAGGAAAAAAAATCCTAGAAAAGTCTGAGTGAGACACTGGCATATTTAGTAGCTGTTTTGTACATAGTATTTCTGGAGTGGCCAAATCACATGAGGCAGCAGGGCCAGGGTGTAGATTAGTAACAGTTTCAGCTCCTCGTGGGCTGTCTCTGCCCTTGCCCCTTGTTCCTGTGTTGCACACTATGTTGCCAGCTACTGCAGAACTGATGCAAATCACTGACCTTCAGCTTCGCTGGCTGGCGATGCTGAACGTGTTACAGTGGTGGAAATGATGTCAGCAGGTGCGGGGCTGCTTTTAGCATCCCTCTTTGCAAATGGAAATTGAAGTGCTCTTCCTCTTCCTGGAGGCGTTTGGCGCCACAGGGTACACTGACTGGTTGGTTTTAGGTTGCAGCATATTAAATTTGTTGGGCTTTCTGTGACTTCTCACTATTGTGTTTATTGTGTTACCTTTTTTTCCATTTCTGTGAAAAAATAATCGCTGTGGTTGTGGTGTGGTTTTGGCTGTTTAAATTTCTCAGCAATAAGGAGATTTGAATTATACGACATTCATATTATGCTTAAAATTTTAGTAGGATAAGAAATTGTTCACAAATGGAAGGGGGCGCCCTTCTCCCAAGCAATTGGCAACAGGATAAGAGAACATAACCTAAAACTGTGCCAGGGGTAGTTCAGTTTGGACATAATGAAAAATTTTTTGACTGAGAGGGTGGTTAAGCATTGGAATGGACTGCCCAGAGAGGTGATGGAATAGCCATCCCTGGAGGTTTTCAAGAAATGACTGGACATGGCACTTAGTACTACAGTTTGTGTGGTGTGGTGGTGTTTGGTCAAGGTTTGGACTCACTGATCTTAGAGGTCTTTTCCAACTTTATTGATTCTGTAATATATTTGTTATTACTTTTAAATGAGTTGATATCAGTGAAATGACTTAAGTCTGCATTACCTGCACTTCTGAAATCCAGACTTGCATTGACTTTCTTAATTTTTCAGTTTTTCAATTTACCTCATTCTTTTAATTGTGCTCATAGTGGTAAAAAAACCAGTTATGTGCTTTATAGACTCAGAAGGATATTACATCTAATTTTGATCTGTGTTGTGAGATAAAAAAGGAGAAATGAATGAAGAACAAGAGTGCTATTAATAAGATTATGCAGGTTTTGACCTATGAAAAACAAAGAGATAGAATTTATTATGACTCTCTTAGCAGTTTAGTATCATGTCTTGCTAATAATATGATTATATACTTGACAGAATATGTGAAACAGACCTGAATCTATCCTGGGAGGCATGACCTGAAGGATGTAGTGCTGCTGTTGCTCTTGGCCCTTCAAGGAGCTTCTCATATTGCTTTGCTCCTACACATACTCTGTTCCTGACCACTAGTGGTTTTCACAATTTTCAGACATGTTCTACAAGATAGCTGTCTTTGTCATGACCACAAATGCTAGTAACTTTTTATACCCTTTTTTCTAGTTGTCTCTGGAAAATAAGTTTAGACAATCGGGGTGAAATGGAAAACTAGAAACAGTGCACTTGGGAGAGAAGGGGCTCTTCCTAACACTGCAGTTAGGGTTTCTAGAAGTCTGCCCTCCAGGTGGATTCTTTATCATAAGAAAAATCAGAAAGTCTTTGTTAGCATAAATGACATTTTGGAGTACGTAAGTCAGATTGATCATATCTTCTGTCCTTCCATGTCAGTGTCATTTTAGGATGCAAAGGAACAGTGGCAAAAGAAAGTGGATGATGGTACAGAAAAGAGGGAAAGGGGTGGGGGATGTAGCACTTCAAAAACTGGGAAGGAGGATAGAAGGTTTTGCACAGAAGAAGTGAGGAGTAAAGAGTTGTCAGAGCTTAAAGAGACTGACCTTACAAGCACAGCAGAATGGAAACAAGCACAAGCGTGGTGGCCTTTGCCATTCTGCTCTCTGGACATCAGGTAAATTATGTTGGGTGTAAGGAATAGAAATTTCCTCAGGTGAGAAATGTCTCTCAGTCAATAGCTGAACTCTTAGCTCTCGTATTCCAGGACTTGAATGTTCCATTGTCTGCTCTAGAATTTGGATTTAGGCAGGTTTATTCCTTTAATAAAGGAGTAAGCTTAATTCTATGTGTAGGTTTTTGCAGGAGTTTTTTTGGAAGATATGTTAAGGTGAGAAGGTACTCTGACTGGCAGAAATTTACTGAGCAAGCACTTTATCATCTGGAGTTCCTATTTATTGCTCTAAGCACTGAGAGTTATAGGTAGATAAGTAGCCATTATTAATCATATTTTCATTTAAATTTGGGATTTTTCTCCTCCTATAAAAATATTATACTAATAGTTTCTTGAAAAATCCAGATCCAGATATCAAATTTCAACTTTTTTAGTAATAAGGATATATGTTTGTAGGTAATTTATATAATTATGGGTATTTAGCTCTAATACCCATCTTATCTTTCAGATGGGGGTAGGGGTAGTGTTTGATAGAGTGTAAAATTAAGACACTATTTCTCTCTTTCTTCCATGAGGAAATTGTTATGACTGCTGTGGCAAAAACAACATGGCAATAAGAGCTGTAATACAGAGACTTGCATTGTGCTTCTGAAAATTACAGTAGGCCAAAACTCAAGGCTGTAATTAAGACGCCAGTATGTATTTATAACAGTTTGAATGCAGTATGTGCATGTGCAGAGGGCTGAGTTGGGAGACACATACATACTTGTGTTCAAATGCTTGTTTGCAAGTACTTGCTAAAAAAAGTATATGTAAAGGCAGATTTAAGGGCTGCCCACCATATTATTCTCTAAAAGCCTGGTCCTGAATCTAGCAAGTTTAAGTAAGTTTAAAAATTAGAGAGCTGTCAAAATTAAAATTTTACTTTATATACTTCTCATACTAATATGTAGATCTTTTTTTTCTTTGACTCAAGTAAGTTAGTCTGTTTTCTGAGGTAGGTGATTCTTAGTTTACTGTGTGTATCTGACTATTAAGTCCTGCCTTTTATCTAGGAATTATATGGCAAATATATTGAGTTTCTAGCTTTTCTCCCCTTGTTCTCAGATGCTCAAATTTAAACAGAACATTTATGTATCATACAGAAGATAGACTCTATCTAATATCTTAAACATGCATTGAGTTTTATCTGCACAATTTGCACAGCATGGATACTTGAAATAGCCCTCTATCAGAATTTGAAAAATATGTTTTTTATCAGTTAGTCCATTTCTAAACTCTGGATTTTTACAGTTCCTGTCCTCAGTATAGATCTTACATTAAGAACTGCAGTTTCATTAAAAAAGATAATAATTCTTTTGCTTCTTACTTTCTCTTTTTGAAAGTGCTTGAGTTGTGACGCTGCCCTAACAAAAGACATTACTTTTAGAAATCTGGGTGAGAAGTTAATTCACTCTGTAAAACTATCTGGGCCAAATTCTCTGCTGCCTTGAGAAGGGTGTAGTCATTTATATTCATTCATAATCATTAAAAAATTGATTTTTTTCTCATAGCATGTTTAGTATTTGTTTTCTACAAGTGAAGTGACTAAACATACTCAAATAGATGAAGAAATGTGTTCATAACTGACCTGTACATAATCTTCCAAGAGCAGAGGATCAGTTTGAAGTTATTTTTACTTGGTTTAAATATTATTCTGTTCTTTGATAATTGACATTGCCATTACACTATTTCACTTTGTGATTTGAAAGGCCAAAGGTTGCTCACTGATAAGGTCTCACTGATCTCTGTAAGAATCAGATGCGCTATCTGGGAGTTGAATACAATGAAAAGAGAGCGTGGTTTCTCTTCAGCCCTGGAAGCTTTTATACAGATTGTTCTAATCCACAGTGATAATCTTGCCAGTGTTTACCTGTTCTTTGTCTTTGAAGATGTTCACAGTGCAGCTGACTCTTGGAGAACAGACCTGGGAAGCTGAAGGAAGCAGTATTAAAAAGGCCCAACATGCTGCTGCTAGCAAAGCATTGAATGAAACTACCCTTCCCAAGCCAACGCCTAGACCACCCAAAAACAATGTAAACAATAATCCAGGTATGACATTTTCCTCTGAGTGTTAGATCTTGTTGAAGTGTTGATACATTATAGCACTAAATAAGTAATTTTAACAAGATACTTAAATTTCTAGGATGAAAATCAACATAGCTATAGTATGATTGGATAATGCAGAACCTCTAGTAAGCTTTCATGGAAGAATTCTTAATGCACATACCTAAAATGGTTGAACTGTAAGGGAATATATTAATTAGGTAATGCTTAGATGTGTTCAAAGTGATGGTATGTGATCAATGATAAGCAGACAGGAGAAAACCAGACTGAATTAACTAAAACACATTTCTTTATTATATAAGAGCTTTATTTTTGCTAACTTTTCAATGAAGTTGGAAATTTTATCCAGTCCAATCCTGTGAAATTGCATCTCTGGTGTAAACAAAAGGCTGGGATTTGGCATGAGAACTTTGACAGGTAATTTCCTGCATGCTGAGTTTTCCTTCAGAGCAGCCTGTCCTTTCAAAAAGCTTTCAGATGTCTTTAGAAACTTGTTTCAATAATAGAAAGAATGTATACCGGTGTCTTGCAGCCTTAATTTTGAGCTGTTACCTGCAAGTTCCCTTCAGTGCATGCGAAACCTTCTGAGGTACACATCTCATGCACATGCTCAGTGATCTGTTCTGTCTTGATCAATAAAGAAAAAAAATCGTAACTTCATTTCAGACTAATGTAAAGGAAATAAAGTGGTGAGAATATTTTCTCATTTTTATTTTTAAACAATCCTTTTCCCCCGCTTGTTTTCTGTTTTCCCTTTTTCCCCTTTAATTTCTGTCTGCCCCTCGCCCTCTTTTAAAAATGTATTCTTCAGCCACTTTCTTAAAATGAAGTAATTGCGCAGTTTATCTTCTCTGTGTTGAAAAGAGAAAAGCAGGAGTAAATTTCCTTTAGAACTTCTGAATATTATCCTGAGCATTGGCCATGAAGGATTGTTTGAGAGTGGTGTGGTAGTGTTCTCTCACTCCTTTGGAGATCTATACGTTGCCTCTCCAGACCCAGGACATTGGTTTTACCCTGTTTCCTTCACAGTCACTGTGACTGTGGCTGCTTAGAAAGCAGAAGGCTCAAACCTCTGTGAAAAGTGATCCTGAGTTTGGTTCTTGACATTGCAGAGTATTACTGAGTTTCTAGAGTTTTTTGTCTTTGAGCATATTCTTAGACGGAAGATCTGATAACAAGAGGAATAGACTTTAAGAGAATTAATTTAAAATTTTATCACTTAACACTGTAATTTTTCTCCAAGAAAGGTGCATTGTATATGCACAGGTATCTTCTCATCAAAATGACATTTTGTATTTTTATTAAAAATTTGAATTCATAGTAATGTCATGCTCTGGAAATTATAAGAATTGTTGTTGGTATAAGTTTTTGATTAAGTGGCATAAACATTTTCATCATTTGGCATATAAATCTTCAATGTCAGACTGGAAAATTAATCATAGCTTTTTAAAGGGTAAATTTATTTGGATCTCTCATGAAAATATTTTCAGAATATATTGGAATATATTCTTTTTATTGGAATAACATTTACCTCATTTAGGATTCTCTTACAACAGTGTAAGTGGGGATTACTGTAGCTGAATGTTTTACGTAAGAAAAAAAAAAGAAAGAAAGCTGGATGTAGCTTATTTGGCATTTTTGAAACCTTGCAACTGGGCAAGTATTGGCTGCTTTCTATTTTTTTATTCTGTCACCAGTAGATGGCTGTAGTTGCACTGATTTCCAGGAGCTGTATGCTCAGTCTGTTAGATCACTCCTATGAGAACATTAATTCTTAGACAAAGTCTGAAGTTTTCACGTCTTGCAAATAAAACATTTTTTCTAACTTTTTGTCAGAGTCCTGAATGACTGCAGTACTGCCTGTTACTTCATGCTTGTTTCAAAGACACTCTGCTCTATTTGTGGTTTTATTTAATGGTATTCAGCAGAAAGACACATTATTCTATTGTCTTTCTAGTTCTTTCAGGAAGTATAATGTATTATTAGGTACTTAGGAAAGATGAATAACCAGCCTGATTATTACACTGACTTTCTCATTCATATGTGAAGGTTAATCCACTGAAACTGCATAGAAAATGCACTGAGAGAGATTTTTAAATGTTCTTTTTCATTGCTTGTAATTAAGTTGACATCTATATTCCCATCTTTTATAGAAATTGAAATGTCTTTTTAGTCGCATCTTTTTAATTTAAGTGTAAAAAAAATTGTGTCGGTCTCTCTTTATAGCTCAGTCCTGCTTGTGTGTTTTTCTGTATTTCTGGTTTAAGTACCTTACTTACACTGTTTTTTTGGGGTTTTTTTGCAGGCAGTATAACACCAACTGTGGAGCTGAATGGTCTGGCGATGAAAAGAGGAGAGCCTGCCATCTACAGGCCATTAGATCCAAAGCCAATCCCCAATTACAGAGCAAATTATAATTTCCGGGGCATGTACAATCAGAGGTTTGTACGCTTTCTGTTATTTTTTTTTTATCTTTATGTCCTAAATCTTCCTAAAATTTCTAGGTTATTTCAGAGTAAAAGGAAACAAAAAATTTTGTTAAGAAGAGTCTGCAGTCTTATTTAGAAACATGCATAATTATATCCTAAAAGAGACAGGTGCCCTAAGCTCATCACAAAGACTAAAGATGTCTGAACCTGCTTTTATTTTTTGTAAGTGCATTAAAAAGCACATTACACAGCCAGGGTAGTGAGGAGGAAGAGCATTGACTTCAGAGAGAGGTTTTGCTTTTCTTTGCTGTCATGTGATTAGAACCTGTGGCATTAAAAATGAAGCAATCTTTTCTTAGAAATTGAATATAAAATTGGAAGGAATGCATTTTGGTAACTGGCTTGAAACCATTTTCAAGTTTCTGTTTTTTTTAACCATTCTTCTTGGTCAGCTGTCTCAGTTCCTTAATCCTCAATGTTTATTTAGGAAAAATCCTTTATTTCACAGTTTAGAAACCTATATTCAGAACTATGTCAATTTGTAATCTGGAAAACTTCTTTCTCTGAGATAGGTTTTTTCCCCATTTTTCCATATTTGTCCCCAGACGAACTGTATTAGATCAGGTCTTTTGAAGCTCCAAAAGTGAGACAAAATATGATCTGTAATATGAGAAAAGACCAAACCAAAACAGGTCAGAAAGTTCTAGTGACATGTTTTATCAGTGAAATTTTTTTTATTTTTAATAAATCTTGACTTGATGAATTTCATGTTAATTTTTGTGCATCTCATAATTGTCAAATGGATTGAGAGTTTGAACTCTGAAGGAGTGTTTTGGTTCAAAATTATTCTTCATTAGAAATTGAATTTATTGCAATGTTGAAAAATTAAGGAGTTTTTAAAAAAGCAGCATTTCAAAAATGTCTAAGGAAAATATTTCAGTTTACGTAATTCTATTTTACTTTTCCCCAGGCTTTTTAATTTTGATAATTTGGGAAGTGTAGGGTTTTAACACTTCATTCTAAGTTGGATTTTTTGTTGGGTTTTTTTTTTGGTTTTTTTTTTTTTTTTTTAATTTGCTTGGCTGGTGGGTTGTGTTGTGTTGTAACAACAATACCTAGAATTATAGAAGACAAAAAAAACCCAAAATAACACAGAAGAAACCCTTTAATTACTGTATGGAACAGTGCTTGATTTTTGTATCACTTGTCGTATATTTCTAGTCATTGCTGACCCGTGTGTCCACTTACATCCATCATGGTTTAAAAAGCTAATTATGGTGCTTGAAATTAGTTTAGTTAATATTTAAAAATCCTTCATTTATTTGAATCGCTTTTATTATGAGATTAGCTTGACTAGCAGATATAACGCTATATTGGAAAAAATGAAAGCTAGTTAAAGGCATAAAATCTGGAATTCTGGAATCTGAACTTAATTATGGAAAGGTATTGGTGGAAATAGGACATCAAAACACTCAGCAGTTGCTAACTCTTAATATTTATTTTCATAGAAAATGATTAGTGTGTCTAGATCAATTTATAAGTTTGCTTCTTTGGAAACTTTCTTTCATGAGAGCCATGTTTTGGTGTTAGGGTAAAATGATACATGAAGGTTATTTTTCTGGGCACATTAGGTAGCCAAGGCCACTCGATTTTTCTGATCACAAAACAAACAGGTTAAGTGGGACAGAAGGCCACAATTTGTGCTTGCTTTTTAATTGGGCTTATTTGAGTGCAGTTACCCATGCAGAATAGCTAATAATACTGTGGTTAGTAAATTGAGTAATAACTAACACTAAGTAGTAAATAAATGGACATACCTGTTTATCTGCATGAACACATACCCACTGTGCACACGCCATGTGCACACATGAATGCCAGAGCAAAGAGGAAGCAGAAAAATGATCTGTATAGTACTGTTGATGGACTACTCTGTTAGAAATAATTGTTCATCGCCTTGTTTTGCATAAGGAGGTGCTGGCCCTTTATGATAGCAGTAAGAAAGGCACTTAGACTTTGTAAGGCATCATTTAAATGCTGTTTATTAGACTTGCTGGTTTCAGAAGTGGATATTACAGATAATCTTCCATACCTTCAGCTGCCTTGGGCCCTGAGTGGTGTGGCATTGTCCAGGACTGTTTCTCACAGGCACCACAGCAGACTTCAGCCTCCGCAGAGACTAACCCCTCCTGGGTATTCACACTCATACAGGATTTGTTTACAAGGAGACAACCCTGTCAGGAATAGTCAGGAATGATGGTACTGTGAAAACTTTGTGCTGTGCTGTCAGATAAAGGCAGGGCCGTGCAGATGGTACCAAGGGGGAGCTGCCATGGGGCCCATCTCTTGACACAAGTCTGTCCTGTGGCCAAGGGATTTGAGCAGCAGAGCCCCATCCTGTGAACCGTGCTGGGCACGGGCCCTGCATCTCAGCACAGCCCGCATGGCTCAGCCTGGCTGTGCTGTGGGGCACTGGCTGTGATGGGCACGATCCTGCACCTCATCCAGTCAGCATTGCTTGCCACCTCCTACTCACCCTCGCCACAGGCAGGCCTGGAGATACAGACTGGATCGTTTACAATAACCAGTGAAGTCTGAAATGTGAAGCATATGATGCAGCACTGTGTTATGTTCCTGTGGTATAATATGTTACATTTATTTTCTTCTACTGCCACATTGTATTTAGCATTCACTTGCTGATTTTTGGGAATAGGGTAGTGGACTAGAAGTACTGCTGAAGTACCCAGGTAAATGCAGACTATATAGACAGTTAAAAACAAGATATGAGAATTAATGTAGATAATATGCTGCATTAGTTTTCTTCATTTTTATTAGTTTCTGACTGTAGATTATTTTCTGTTATTAAAAAAGATAAAAAATACATTAAAAATTGGAAGCTTTGTCTTTTTTACTGTGTCTGCATTCCATTTACTGATCTCTGTTTAAAGAAATGTGCTTTTCAAATAGGTGAAGATACAGACAAAGATTAGGAGATTACATTAGGGAAACTCTGATACTGGCAAGACTAATGTCTAGAGGAAAAAATAGATTATTAAGTTCATTCCAGGGCATATCTCTATGCCAGTAAAGTGTAGTGTTTCAAGTTGCACAAAAGATGCTTTTCAGTACCTCATAGAAACATGATCCGAGAGTTGCAATTCGTATGCAAAGTTTACGGCTAGATTCCTGTCAGGCTAAGATGATTTATGTCAAAGTGTCAGTGATTCCTCCTCCTTCATTTGTCCCTAGACTTTGTGTCCCTGAATATCTCCTGCCTCCAGCATTGGAAGTTGAGCTGCTCGAAAATGAATCAATTTTTCAGGGGAGAGGAAGGCAGAAGTTACTTCTTGACTTACAACTACTGTACTTAGACATCTTCTTTTCTAGTCACACAGGAGCTTGTGCCTTCACCAGAAAGGGACTGGGTGTACTTGGAATGTAAGGGCAACTTAGGTTGATTTAAGTGTGTGAAGGACTATTCTTTCACATGCTGTGGAGCATATTTATATGTGCAGTATGTTGAACAGAGGATGTTGAAGCAGGTTTGTAAGGGGCCAACATCCATTTGCAAGGTCTGCAGCTGATGCCATAAATTTATAGTGGTGGTGATAGCTATTTTCATAGGGAAAAGGAAAGCAAACTAGTTAGAGGAAAAAAGGAAAAGGTGAAAGTTTTCCTAGCAGTCAGCATGGGAGGCAAGTGATGAGATGTCCCAAATGAGCATCCTTTACAGGTGTTTCTCTTCAATGCAGCAAATGTTCTTAGTAACACTTTCTCATAGTAATTCTATGGTTTTTATCAGGGCATGTTCTAGCTACCTGCTGTTTACAGTGCTGGTAGTGCTGCACCAGGGTTGGTGTTGGATACTGACTGTTTATAGAGCTTTGTGCATGCAAAACTCAGCATGGCAGGGAGCAAGACATTTAAGGCAGTGTTTAACACCGTGGTAAGGTCTTAGCCTTGTAAGTCTCTTCCTGTGCTGAGTTAGAAAGTACAGGGCAAGTCAGCTCCCCTCTTAGGGTAGCTAAGTAGATAAAACACAGTCCAGCTTGGAACTGGATGAGGTATGAATGTTTTCATGCTGAGTCTTCACTCAAGATAGTGAATGCAGTTCTGGCTAACTTGTTAACAGCATTGGGTAGTTGCCATTATACTGCATATTGTGACAGGGTGATGAAGTCTGTGTGAGGCTGAGCTGAATCATATGAAGTTACCAGCTTAGGTCTCTGGTAGCTTGGGTATCTGTATACTATTTCACAGTGTAGATAACAACTTGGAGTCTTCTCTGGATTTTCTTTATTGAAGTAAAATCCATGCAACTTTGGTAAAAGAAAGTTTGATGGCCTCTGATAAGACAGCTTTTTTAAAAGTTGTCAACTCTTAATCCAAACATGTTAGACAACTTCTTTTGCAAAGATTTCTATATTCCTAAAAGAGATTGTAATAGAGGAAAATACTCTTTTGGCACTCAGAATTTACCAGTTACATACAACCAATTTAAAAGCTCACAGGTTGGAATTTCAAGCAATTTTGCCTCAAAAACACACTAAGACCTTCCAGTTCAAACTCTATATGTTACAGAAAAGCTGAAAATGGTGAAGATTTCATTTTTATGGCTTCTTTAATCAAAGAGTTTTCCAGGCTGACTCTGGGGAAGGAGGTGCTGATGCTTTCAGGGCTGGGTTGCTAACTGATGTAGCTTGCGTGTTTGTCAGCACAGCATTTGGCAGGAGTCAGGAGAACTGGCACGCTACTCAGCACAGCCCAAGCCTTGAGACAGCAGGTCAGGTTTGAAAACTATTGGCAGAGCTGAAGACAAAACATGTGCTTACTTTCATATCTGTAGCCATTGCTAGAACCCAAACTCCCTCGCATCTCTGGCTTAAATGCAATTGGCTTAAACCATGTAAAAAAGAATTAAAAACATGGCTGTTTAAATTAGAGCAGTTAAACAATAAAATAAGGTATCAATTCTGACTACGGGGTTGTCCAACTCTCCTTGTTACCATTGAATG